AACTAATACAAGTCTCTCTGTGTATTCATTTGGGCCTAACTTGGGTAGGTGGCTGGTGTAAAGCTTACACGTGGCAGTGGGGCTCAGCGGCTTTTGGCAAAAAGATTTATTGTAACATTTATCATAACAGTCTGTGTAATGTTGCTTGTATGTACATGATTTCAGTTGAACACTGGGTATTGGATAACCAATTGTGCTGGTAGGCTCTTCCCTGAGGAACACTCCTTTCTACATTCTCAACATTCCTTCATTTCTTGTAGTTATTTATGTAGGGCTGAAGCCTCATGAACTTTCCCCTTTCATGTTAGCATGTCTATTGGTGTTGTCTTTCTGGTGTAGGATACAGAATAGTCCTTCACCAAGCATTGTGGCTCCGATGCCTATGGCTATGGTAGTTGTCATCTTGGAGGTGAAGGAATTTAATTGGGATGCTTTTGTGAGAACATGGCATAAGCTCTATGGGGATAAGACTTTGTCATCACTAGCCATGGTTCTGAGTTGCAGACAGGAGCATGACATTATTTTGGTCCCTAGAGAAAAACTAGGGTGATTCTTGGGATTTTTATACTTGCAGCTACAGTCCCAAGGCTGAGAACTAGGGTGGGTGGTAGGGAACATTTCCCTACCTGGGCTGGTGTAATTGATCCCCTCTATTGCCACTGATAGTCATATGAAGCTGGGACCTTCCCAATGGACAGGTGCAAGTGAAGCTGAGACATGGCAACAGTGAGTGGGTACATTTTCAAGATCCTCCTTGGTTCCTGATTAATGAAGTGGTAACGTGGGTGGATCTCTATCTCTTGTTTTTGTGGCTATGATAGCCATTGATTCTGAAAATGCAGGATGCTGGGGCAGGAGGGTCTGTGTTCCACCCATCGAGGAAAGCAAATGTTCAGTAGTCATCACTGTGTTAGCCCATTGGTTGCCAGCCTCTAAAGCAGGACAAATGTCTACTAGTGGCTGTCTAGCAGCATAGGCTCAGGTACTTGAGGAGGACACAATGTGAGTTCTTTTGTCAGACAACCTTGCTCCCCAAATGGACTGAAAGCCTGTGAGAACTGTGGAGTCTGTCTGTGGTTAGAGCTGCTGGCACTTTTATTTTATTTCCAGCAGTGCTAATCCATCCCACCCTGTTAAGCAGCCAGGGTGGGAGATGTAGTTTGCTTTCCCCTGGTGCTTTCTGACTCTCCTTGTCTTTAGAGTTCCCATTCCCTTACTGATTTTCTGACTTCTCTCCTAGTTCCCCTCCTCGTGATAGTTTCTGCTTTGTTGCCCTGTTTCTTCCCTATGGCAGAGTCAGGACACTGACTTTCAGGGCACCTCTATCCAGCCATCTTGGCTGCAGCTTTTCTTCTTCCTCCTTTTCCTTCTGTCTTCTTCTTCCTCCTCCTCCTCCTCCTCCTCATCATCATCATCATCATCATCATCATCATCAACTTTCCCTTCTTTCTTCCTCCTCCTCCTTTGGTTTTGTAGATGGTTTCATTATAGATATAATCCTTTCCCCCACTATACAAACCTAATTAAAAGTCAGAGGGCAAAGGAACCCACAAAGTTCACACAAGCCAGCAGTTGATGCTGTAGAGCAGGTGTGTGTGTGTGTGTGTGTGTATTTAGAGGGATGCAATTAAAGTCAATATGTGTACAGAGACTCCCTTGAGCCACAGAGAAGCAAGTAGCCATCTCCTCATTCAGGTCAGAAAAGAATGAGTTATGTCCTGTGTTTACACCCTTCCCTTCCAGACCTCTTAGATTCTGTTTATAATTCAGGGAGCTGGAAACATAGTTTATCAACAATAATGAATTTTAATGGTATTTAGTTACATTTTGGTGTGTGTGGGGGACTGGTGAAATTCAGATCCATGGACTGACAGCAGTACTGAACTTCAGAGAAAAAATAATCACACCTCAGCTCCTCTGTATTTAGTATGCCACAGCTTTAATGACGCAGATGCAGAGTAAAGTCAGGAGACACAGGCAGTTTCAGTAGTCTGGGGAAATACTCTGTGTTGAAGGAACTCACTGCAAGTTTGCAAACATAAATCAGGTTCAAGACATCATTTTCTTTGGATGTGGTCATTGAAGAATTTTCTTACTAGCCCATTTTATGAGCACAATCATAATATTTTTAATGCCCAAGTTCTATTTGGTTATCCTGAAGGTTGTGAGGGCTTTACTCCTCTCCAGAGTTACCTAATGTCTCACAGGCGGTGAGTTTTTAAAGCTGGGAACAAATTTCATTAGAGTTTGACTCAGGTAACTGAATTCAGGATTGAAAAGCAAGTGCCCATGCTGACCAGTTTTCAGCAACTGGTTTGTGGCCTCTGGACTTTCCTGAAATAGATGCAATCCATCCATATCATACTTCAACATGCTTTATTGAGGGATATAGAAGGTGAAGGAGTTTGGAAGGAAAAATGTACATGTGTAAAGAGGAAAATGAGAAAGGTACATGATAAACAGTTAAAAATTGTTTGATATAATTTATCTTAAACAAGGCGACATTTGAAGAAAAATATATGAAAAACACTGAACAATGAGGCCTTCATTTTTTTAAGGAAACAATGATGACCTTATTGAGAATAATAGGGATATGAATATTGGAATCACGAAGGGTTGGTTAGAGGCTGTCTTAGTATTGTTTCCTTTGTGATGACAAAATATTTTGACAAAAGTACTTCATGGAGAAGCTGTTAATTTTAGCTTACAAATCCAGCTTACAACGCACCTATACAAGAACATCAGGCCAACCTAATCTAGATAATCCTTCAGTGACATTTTATTCCTAGGCAATTCTAGATTGTACCAAATTGACAATTTAAACTAACCACCCTGGAGCTAAATTCCAAATACTTACTAAAAGTACATGACCTTGGCTCAATTCCTTAACTCATTTGATGTCAGTTTTCCCATATGAAGAGTATGTAATAGCAGTAATAACTTCATGAAGTAGATGGGAGGATTAAATGTGTTAACTTTGTGTCCTCACACAGAGTAAATGTCTAATAACATCTTTTATTGCTTGAAGACAAGGGGATTGGAATATTCCAATGAATCTCGAAATCTTTCCCTTGTCACCACTGAGGATGTGATAACATTTTCTTCCAGATAATGCAATTAAGTGTTTTATTGGCCCACAGTAGGCATTAGCTGTTTGTAAAAGCCCCCTTTACTCTGTTAGTGTTGGCTTGCCATCTCTGAGAAGTGCTTTGCCTTTTAGATTCTGTTTTCTCCTGCTTTAGGTTAAAATCAGAGCTACATCATAACTTACTAACCTGAAATGTAGGTTGCTGAGGCCACCTTTAGTGTTTAGAGTGTTTGTGTTTTCATAGACAGGACAGATTTGTTTGTCTTCGCCTGCCGAAGCTGCAGGTAGCTACTACCTGGACACCTGGAAGTTAGAAGGGCTCACATTCACTGTGAGCAGCTGTCATCACTAAGTGTCTAGAATTAGCAGAGAATTTTCTTTGCTAAGTCAAAACTTCCAACGAGGAAACTTCCTTTTATACTCTTCTCCCTCAGGAATCAGTGCCACCCAGCCTTTATTGCTGTCTTCCCTTCCTTGTCTCACTTCCTCTGTTTGATCTCTGATATTTTGAGGGTCTCTTCTCAACTGTTTGCATTAAGAATCACTGCTAGGCATGCTGGCATGCACTTTCAACCCCAGCATGGCAGGCAGACAGGAATCTCTGTGAGTTTGCAGAGAGCATGTCTGGCCAGCCAGGGCCACACATCGAAATCCTGTAGTGGTTTTTTTTTTTTTTTTTTTTTTTTTAAGATCCTTGTTTATTCTGTCTCCTGAACAAGACATGATTCTTGTGCTTAGTGTCTACTTTGAACTAGTGGTACGGTGTTGTAAGTTATTCTGAAAACAACATCCTTAAATATAGGCAAGTGAAAATAAAGTTATTCTTAGTCTTTGGTAAATAGAGAAACTCCAGACACATAACATTTTTGAGTATATTCAGTGGGAGCAGAATATAATAGATGGTTGGAGAGATGTTGGTTTATTGTGTGACTGTAACAGAATGCCCACCAGTAGGTAATTTATAATGTACATAATTTTTTTGCATCGCAGTTCTGATGCTGGGAAATCTGAGATCAAGTTGTTGATCTGGAATGATTATCTCATCACACATGGTTAGAAGATGAGAGAGCAAGAGGGCCATGTTTTCCTCTTTCTAACAATACCAATCCCATCAGTGAGTGTGGAGTCTGCATTACCTGATCACCTCCCCAAACTCTTACCCCCCCCCCAATACCACTACAATGGAAATTCAACTTGAATACTAGTTCTAGAAGGGCATTCAAGCCATGTCAGAATACCACTACAACGGAAATTCAACTTGAATACTAGTTCTAGAAGGGCATTCAAGCCATGTCAGTACTTTTTAAACACATTGCCAATTCATGGATGACAGCTTCCTTACATCCAGATGTGATTGTGCTCATCTGCATTCCCTGCACTCAGGAGGCTGAGGCAGGAGGATGGGAGTTAAGTGGCAGCTCAGGTATATAGTCATACCTTGTAACACAAATTTTAAGTGACCCAGAGACTGATATTGGGGTTCAAGCTTCAAGATGAGGATCAGCAAAGCAAAGTAGCCAGCCACTAGCTCTCCCCTCTAGATCAGGCTGAAAGGGCTGATCCATGAGCTCTTTACCAAGTCTCAGACTGCTGCCTCTCCTCATCGTGGCTGGAGAATTCTGAGACTCAATGTCTTCTTATCCTCATTGTGGCTGGAAGATGAATGCTAACTCTAAGACCCTGCTCCTGTCTTAAATACCTCTCATGAGTCTTGGATTAAAGTCACGTGATCTCAAGTACTGAGATCATCTTTGTGTGAACTATTTCTTTTTAGGACTGGATGTATTTCTTGTACTCAGTGTGGCCTGGAACTACCAGAGATCTGTCTACCTCTTAATCCTGAGTCCTGGGATTAAAGCTGTGTGCCTGGCTTCTATGGTTTGTGGCTGACTTTCTGAATCCTCAGGCAAGCTTTTATATATAATAAATATTATATTACCAGAGTACCTTTTCTCAAATAAGTCATATTTGAGTAATAATAATAGTAATAATAATAATAAAGTTATAAAGTAATAATAATAAAGTAAATAATAAAAGCTAGAGTCAGGTGGTGGTAGCTCATCTCTGTACTCAGGGATGTAGAGGCAAGTGGATCTCTGAGTTTGAGGCTAGCCTGGTCTACAAAGGGAGTTCTAGAACAGCAGGGCTGTAACAGAGAGAAACCTTCTCTCTCAAAAAAGAAAAGAAATAGGCAGAAGCAGTAGTACATGCCCTTAATCTTAGCAGTCAAGTGGTTGAGTTTAAGTTTACATGAGACTTCATCTGCAAATACCAAAAACACCCCCCCAAACTCAAAATAACAACAACAGCAAGACCCCAATTCCCACCCCACCTCTCCAAAGCACCTCTCTCAATTCCAGAATATTCAGTGATGACTCTTTCAGACTGTTAACCTTTGTTTTGTTTTTGTTTTTTGAAGCAGGGTTTCTCTGTGTAGCCCTGGCTGTCCCTGCATTTGCTCTGTAGACCAGGCTGCTAATCTTATTTCTATCAGAAATCTAAAATAGTGCAAGAGTAAAAAATCTGTTGTCCTAAAGTCTATCAACTTAGGGCTGTAAGGACAGAAGGTATCCTGAGCAGATTCTGGTTCCAATGTAGGGACCAGCACTTAAGCAGTGGGCCTCACGGCTTATTGACTCCTGTTTGCTCGATAGATCTGGGATAGTGAAGTCTCACCTGTAAATGGGAAGCCATCTATGAAACCAACTGAATGCCCTGATTGCTGATTGTGAGGATAACTGGTAGTAACTCCTCTTTAGGCAGCAGAAGGGAAAAATTTGATGCTTTCACCTAAAAACTTTATTTGCTACGGGAATTTTCTTTGGCTAATGCAACTTTTAAGACCTGTTAGTTCACTCTGAGGCCAAGGAACATTTATGTAAGGAATCTTCAATAACATTCCTTCAGTTTGGCAAGCGTGGAACTCCCTGATGCCAGTTTTTCCCTCTTTTGAATATTCAATTTGCATATGGCTTCATTTGACTTCCCAAATGTTTTCAATGTTTAAAAACTGCAGATAGGATCATGTAAAGTTAGAGACATTTATTTTGCTTTTATTTCCTTCTCAGTGATTTTGGTCTTGATGGTTCTGAAAGTCTGAGAATGCACTATGACCTTTCTTTTCACTGAAGCCAGCTTGCATTAAGGGCGATTCCTAATGGTGCTGATTTGTACTTCCCAAAGTAGACCCCACAAGTTTCCATATGGAGCACCAGTTCTTTTTTTTTTTTAAGTAATTTTTTTAATTTAAATTAGAAACAAGCTTGTTTTACATGCCAATCCCAGTTCCCTCTCCCTCCTCTCCTCCCCTGCCCCCCACTGAGCCCTTATCCATCCCCTTTTTGCTCCCCAGGGAGGGTGAGGCCTTCCGTGGGGGATGGTTTTCAAAGTCTGTCATATCATTTGGAGCAGGGCCTAGACCCTCCCTTATGGAAACCTTCTGTGTTAAACCAGTGTTGGTGATTCTATGATGCTGATGATTACAGGTCAGCTCCCTTTCTTCCATTCCAACTTGTAGAGACTTAACTCTTGAGCGCCAGGATTCTGCTGATTCCAGGGCCCTGGGTTATAGGTAAAGCCTAGGTACTTGGAGGCTCTGAAGTATTGGTAAGACAAAATCATGACATGGATACTTATTACTAATTATGAATGCTTGGCCTTATCTTACGCTTTTCCCACTAGCTCTTATATAAATTAACCTGTTTCTCTTCATCTACATTTTACCTCGGGGCTTTTTAACCTTATTTTCATTCGGTATGTCCTACTCTGTGTCTGACTGGCTGGCGGCTGCCTAGCTGGCTGACTCTGAGCATCCTCATCTCTTTTTCCCTCATTCTCTTTTCTTCCATTCTCCCCTGAAGCCTAGACTACTCCTACTTATTCTATTTGCCTACCAGCCTTGCCAGTCCCTCTACTGCCTAGTTGTTGGCCATTCAGTCTTTTTTATTAGGCCAATTAGGTGCCTTAGGCAACACATCTTTACATCATTACAGAAGTGCAGCATTAACAAATATAACACATCTTTGTCTAGTTAAAGGACTATTCTACAACATAAACAAATGCTAACACATCTTTATATACAAAATAATATTCCACAGCACAGAATTTCATGACTTACTGATAAAAAAATACATTTCCAAGTTGGCAAACTTGAGAGACCAAGAGAAATAATGGAGATGGTGTTGCATTGTGTTGAAAGTTGGAGAATGAGCTCAGCCTTCAAATATACATTATGCTAGTATCAGCCTATGATCTTCCCCTTCCTTGTCAGGATCTGACCTTTAACACTGGCAGTTTAAGGAGAGTGCTTTTTATCATGTCCAAAACTACATATTTCTAAGTGGTTCCTATGTTTGTTCCTATAAGAAGACAAGAGAAGGGCTGATGAGATGGCTCAACAGTTAAGAGCATGTCTTATTCTTGAAGGTAATCCAGGTTCAACTCCTAGCACTCACAACCATTTGTAAATCCAATGTAGGGTACCTCTGCAGGCACTAGGCATGCATGTGATACACATATATACATGAATGCAAACCATTTGTATACATAAAATAATAAATAAATAAAATTTAAAGAATAATAAATGAAATATGTTTAAAAAGAAGCCAAAGGACAAAGAATGGGGCCATTATAGTTTGACTGGGAAATGACTCACATAAGCTCAAGTATTTGAATACTAGGCTATCAGTGACACTGTTTTAGGTTGTGGAGTCTTTGTGGGTGTGAGGCATGGTTGACGGAGGTGGGTTACAGGGGGTTGGCATTTGAGGGTTATATAGCCTGACGTATGTCTCACTCAACCTCTCTGCTTCCTGATTGTTTCAGGTTACAAATGGCAGCCTCACACTTTGCTGCTAGGCAGTGACCTCTCCCATGTGTTCCCTACCATGATGGACTGATGTTCTCAGGAGCTGTGAGCCAAAGGAAATCCCCTGTCCTTTAAATTTTCCCATCAGTGATAAGGAATGTTGTGAAGTAATCCTTTTTGCACACTGTGAAGATTTGTCGCTCAGATTGGTTTAATAAAAAGCTGGTTGGCCAGTAGCTAGGCAGGAAGTATTGGTGGGACAAAGGACAAACTAAGGACACTAGGAAGAAGGAGGGTGGAGTCAGAGGAGTTGATAGGAGCAAGACATGCTGGAGGACAGGTAAAGCCATGAGCTACGGGACAATACATACATTAATAGAAATGGGTTAATTTAAGTTGTAAGAGCTAGTTAGTAATAAGCCTGAGCTATTGGGCAAGCATTTGTAATTAATATAAGCCTCTGTGTCAGTTATTTGGGAGCTGGCGGTAAGGAAAGTAAAGTCTACCTACAGAGGAAAGCAATGGATGCTGGGAGTAGCTTTGGGATATAGACCCTATTTAATTGCCATGACTCCTTTGGAAAGAAAACTGACAAGAAATATCCACATGGAAATTAGATGGTTTCTTATATTTCTCCTGCTCTAAATCTAAAATTATTTCCTCCATCTTTTCATCTTTACATGCTCAGTAGGTGAGTATATTCAGATAATTGGGCATACACTATACTCACATTATTCAGGGGCTTCTAGAGAAAATAGAATCAATATGGTTAAGGAATTGACTCAAGGAACTGGGTCTGCTGGCAGTCTTCAATCTTCAGGGCAAACCCACAAGCTGGAGAGGGAAGGAAGAGTTATGGCCCAGTTACAAGCAGACCCAACTCTGGGCCAAATTCCTGTTGCCCAAGGGCAAGCCAGTCTTCATTCCATAGGGCCTTCTGATGGGAAGATTAGTTAAGTTTTGGAGGATCATCTGACTCACCCCAAACCTTCTGGTTTAAATGCTAATCTCATCTCTTCCCCTAAATATGTCATCAAAGCAACCAGAATAATATTTGACTAAATAGATTGGTACTATGTTCCAGCCAAATCAATGTATATTATCCTTTTAAATAGCACATAGAAGATAACAGGGCATCATAGCATGTGGCTCCAATCTTCCCTGTTAGCAGTGAGTGTGTGAGATAGGATGTGATCTATCCGGTGGATCTTATTTTACAGACAACAACAGAATTAGAAGATCAGTGTTTCATTTGGGTAAGAAGGAAAACATTATTTAAGTTAAATTGGCTTCTTTTTTTCTTTCTATTATTTTATTTTTTTCATATTTACATATCCATCCCCCCATTCCCTCACCCTTCCAGCCTCCCATGATCCCCACTAACCCCCCAACCCATCCCCCAATTCCTCCCCAGGGATAGTGAGGCCCTTCACCAGGGACCTTCAAAGTCTGTCATATTGCTTAGGGGAGGGCCTAGGCCCTCCTTGCTCTATCTGGGCTGCAATAGTATCCCTCCATAGGGAATGGGCTCCCAAAGTCCATTTGTGCTCTAGGGTTAAAGACTGTTTAGAGGTCCACTGTTAGAGGTCCCATAGACTGTTTTGGCCTCCTAGCTGGCACCCACATTCAGAGGGCTTGGTTCGGTCCAATGCTGTTTACCCAGCTTTTTAAAAAAGGCATAAAAAGCCTCTTACCTTTGCACAAATGTTGGTCATAGTGGCATAGAGAGACATCTTCCACCCTAAATGATAGTTTCCAATGAGGTCCTTAACCAACGTCCTAACTAACTCAGTCCCCTGCTGTTCTTCCATATTTTTAATAGGTATTTCAATATAAAGAACATAACATGTATGTTCACATTTGTTCATTTGGCAATTGTCTTTAATACAAAAGCAAGTCTCAGAGTAAACTCCTTTCACAGGACAAGAGAAAAATGAAACAGATGTTCATGTTCACACAATGAATACTGAGGTTCCATTTACTCTGAGATTGAAATATAATCCACATAGCTTAGCAGTGTAAATCACAGAACAAAAACTGTCTGTGTAATGTAGCTTCCCTGAGATAGGTTTGGTCTCTTGGGATGACATTTTATTACCTACTTAATTATTCTATTTTCTGTACCTTCTGAGTTACGAAGCTGTCCAGATGTCAATGTCTTATAAAAGAAATGTTTCATTATGAAATGACAAATGTGGCATGTTTGCTTATAACGATAGCAGCCTCCTAAATTCCCAAGCAGCAATAAGAAGACCTTGAAAGCTAATTTACATTCATCCATGAGTCTTTGCCTCAGATCTGCTCTCCATGTGGCATCAAGGTCATAACAGAAATACCTGCTTTAAGATCGGGGCTGCCATGATCCTTTTATTTAAAACAAAAAAACAAAAAAACAAAAAAACAAAAAAAAAACCTTTTCTTTTGGCAAAGACACTAAGGATCAGTCTTTCAGCAAGATTGATATTGCAAAGGATTATAACTAAAGAAGTAAGAAATCTTCCCCCAAATCTGGCCAATATAGTAGCTGGTTTTATTTCACACTTTTACAAATAGTGTTTGTACTAGGGTGATGTGTAGACTTATCAATCATGGGGAAAGACTCAACAGACACACAAAAAAAGCATGCATCTTCTGACGCTGCTAAGACTCCCAGAAATAGTGGAGAGGGTGTCTGAATGGTTCTTCCCCCTTAATTGGATTAGTACCACCCTAATTGTCATCACAGAACCTACAACCAGCAACTGATGGAAGCAGATGCCGTGATCCACAGCCAAGCACTGAGTTGAGCTCCTGAAGTTCGGTTGAAGAAGGGGAGGAGAGATCACATGAACAAGGGTGGGTCAAGACTATGATGGAGAAAACCACAGAGACAGCTGACTTAAGGTAGGGGAGCTCACAGTCTACAGACTAACAGCTTGGGAATGATGGGGGATGTCCTTCTGTATATATGTTTCTCTTATTGGTTGATGAATAAAACAATGATGGCCAGTATCCAGGCAGGAAGTATATGCAGGGCTATGAGATTAGGAGAATTCTGGGGAGAAGATGCAGAGAGAGGCTACCAGAGAGACGCCATGTAGCTACTGGGAAGATAGGACAGGCATTCTCTGGTAGGATGAGGCCATGTAGAAATACATAGATTAATAGTAATGGGTTAATAATTAAGAGAGATCTAGCCAATAAGTAGCCTACACCATTGGCCAGACAGTTTATAATTAATATAAGCCTCTGTGTATTTATTTGGGGCTAAAAGGCTCTGGGACCAGCTGGGACAGAAACTTTTATCTACAGGGAAACCTGAATAGGACCAAAGTAGACTTTCTGAATGTGGGTGACAGTTATGTGACTTGATCTGTTGGGGGGCTTCTGGCAGTGGCACCGGGACATAACAGAGGCATGAATTGGCTTTTTAGAGCCCACTCCGTATAGTGGAATACCTTACTCAGCTTTGATACAGTGAGGAGGGGCTTGGTCCTGCTTCAAGTTGGTATGGCAGACTTTGTTGATTCCCTAAGTTACCCACTCTGAGGAGTGGATGTGGAGGTGGGAAGAGTGGGAGGCAGGGGGCAGGATATAGAAACTGGTTGAGAACTTAAATTCTAATAAGGAAAATGAAACCCTTACATGGTCAATTTGTCACATAACTCATTGATTTTCTTTTCTATACTGCTCCCCATCTTTTTGCTCAATCTGTGGGATAATCAATGCTCTGAGAATATTGTTTCAAGGGAGTAGGACCACTTTTCCTTTCTGTGAGTAGTTTAGCAAAATTAAGTATTTCCCATTTCTGTTCTTTCACTATTGTTCCCTTTTCTCTTCATGGGGACCACCTCAAAGAATGGGTATGTGGCAGCCTGGCATTGGGGTACAGCCACATCTTACCTTTACTGTGCCCCTTTTCACTTTATCTTTTTGGGGGGCAGGGAAATCCTCAGTTTCCTTGTGTATAAAATGGGTAAATAGTATTTTACCTCACAGGAGTCTTGGAAGGACCAAAGGAGATACTGTGTAAGTAAGTTACACAGTGTCACCCAGTTTTCTGGATGTAAGTGAGAAGCCCAGTGCTACTCTAGCACTCATGATCCAAAGGGGAAAAGCTGTCTGACTTGCCACTTAGAATGGTTAACACGGAGAATCAGCTTAGGTGCCCCAAGCAGATGAACGGCAAAGAAATAAATTATGCATGCATAAATTGAAATATTTTTTCAGCTGCAATACAATAGAGCCCTGTAATAGTGGATGGAACTGGTGGGCAACACAGCAAGTGAAATGAGACAGACACAGGAAAACTAGTGTCACATGCTTCCTCTCATATATGGATATAGTACACAACAACAGTAACAATCAAGCAGGAAAACACTGACCTGAAGGTAATGGTGTGATCACAAGAGATGCAGAAGGGTGCTGGGAGGGTGAGGGTAGGTGAAGGGTGAGTGATGGTCAGTGTGCACTGTGTGCAGGCATGGGAACATCAAAGTGAATCCCACTCATCTGCACCATTAACATGTCAATAATAAAAACGATTTTTAAAGTTACTGGAAAAGGACACATTTATGTCAATCACTAAATTAGATACCATTCATTGTATCAGGCACTAGCGGCAAGGTGGGATCTTTGATTTGGGGATATATTCAAGAACAAAGCAGAAGATAGTACAAATAGAAACTGTGCTTATCAGGTACCGGAAAAGATTGGACCCATGGGTATTGTACTGCCCAGTGAGAACAAGAGGAGGACATAGGGAGAGTATTTTATAGAGGACACATAAGGTCACACCCAGGAAGTCATGTCAGTCCCTGTGTCTGCCCCCTCAGGTGCCAGTTAGATATGGGTCGGTCAAAAGATGGTTTGCTTTTACCAAAAGCAGAAGCTCAATAGGACTGATATTGAAGATTCTGGACAACAGTGAAACTGTTTCTCCACCACCCCCCCTCAGGGCCAGAGAGGTGGCTCAGTGGTTAAGAGCACTAGCAGCTCTTGCAACATAAGTCCAGGGTTCAGTTCCCAGCACCCCCATGGTGGCTGTCATAACTGTTCGAGGGGATCCAATACCCTCTTCTGACATCTTCAGGCAGCAGTCACACATAAGTGCACATAAATACATGCAGGCAAAATATGCATGTGCATATGCAAAAATAAATCTGAAAAAATGTTGAAGTGTTTTTGCATGGTTTTCCCCAGATTAACACAGGGAAAGCATCCAGGACTGCTGTTCCTGTGTGGTCCCTTTCCCTTCATCCTCACTCTATACCGCTGAAGAGCCAGAATTTGCATCTCAGAGGGGAAAAAATAGCCAACTGGAGCTTTGCTCAATTGCTATTCCTACTAGAAATAACTATTCTTTGTCTATTTTACTGTAATAGTAGTGAGCTAAAGAAAAGTTGCACAAATCCTGCCATCAGCAGGACACATGAGCTGAGCTCTGTGTGGAGATCTGGGAAGAAACCAAACCAAACTAAACTAAAAGAGATATGAGTCAAATACAAAAGCCTTCTAAAAATAAGGCATTTTTATGTTAATAGTAACATGCTTTCTTTGGTATTTAAAGCAATGTATGGTTGTTAAAGTCATATAGACAATATATTGATAAATAGAGGAAAATGATATGTGAAATTTAAATGAACTTTCTGTGCATGTAAAAAGTGAATATGCATTTGATAGTCTATCTTCAGAGTCATATATTACTTTATTATTTTATTGTTGAAGCAGGGTCTCATGTAGTTCAGGTTGTCTTTAAGCTTGCTTTGTAGCCAAAAAGAAACTTCTGGTTTTCTTGCCTTTACCTGCATGTGAGATTACAGGCATGTACCAACCATACCTTGATTTGTACAGCATGGGGGGATTTGTTGATGCCTGGCCAGACTTTTTCCAATTGAGGTACATCTCCATTTTATTTCTGATTTTTAAAAAATAGAGCTGAATCACAGCAGTAATATTGTTAGGGGTTTTATATCATCCACCTTTGAATGATTAACTAATGTAGATTCCACCATTCCCCTAACAATATAGCCCTGTGGTTTGGCAGTGCTGGAAATAAATACTTGTGGCCTGGCCTTTATTATCCTCTAGACAGCTGTGAAAGGGAATAAAGTAAGAGGTGAGATCTACAGTTTACAGTTCTACTACTTTTCCTATGTGCAGGATTGTCTGGATTTAGTGAGAAAGGTTTTCTTATGTAATCTTGGACTAAATGCAAAGAAATATTAGAATTTAAGTGGGAGGGAAAGGTGCGTTTTAGTGGCTGGAGCCACAGTATGGCATGAGTAGAGTTTAAAGTGAAGTATGCTGTGTTCACGGTGAACTTTGGGATCACTGACTTCGAGGGACTTTGGTAGGTGCTTTGATAAACAGGAAGACAATGGCAGCAGTGTCTTTGTGGGCAGTAAAGCTGGTGCTGGCTCTGCCTGTCTGTACATGCCTGGGCTCTTCCACCCAGCTCAGGTATGCTTGTAATCGCTGGGGATTCTGGGATCGATTTCCTATGCTCTGCATAGCCCAAAGCCAGAGTATTCCTGTTTCATTCCCAGTTTCACCACAAATGTAAGCTTTTGCCAGATACCCCTTATAAGAACCCAGCGTCTCTCCCTCGCGGGCTTTCTCATAAGGTGTTATTTATGTGAAAGTCTTAGGATTGGATAGCATAACTTTATTGAATCAACTGGTGGTAATAATGCCCTGGATTTACTTGTAAGACACTGTCTACATGAGAGCTGTGGTCTTCTCAGGGAGAGTTAGAAGTGCATGTATTCTTAACATTAAAATGAGATACCTGGGCAAAGCAAGTTCTGTATAATATGCAGCTCACAGTGTCCCTTTACTTACAGACTGGTGGGCTCCCACTGATACTTATGATACATTACCTTTCTCTTGAAGGACAAGGAAAGTAAATCCAGGAAGGTGGAGTATATGGGAGGTGATTACTATTTTTTTTTCCAAATTGGCAGTTATATGGTACCCCTTGACAGAGCGAACACACAGCCTGAGTTTTCCAGTGGGTGCTGAGAGGAAGGGTCAGGTGAGCTATTTTATTCTGAAGATTGACATTTAATGGAGCTACACTAAACTTATAGGAAAGGGGAAGGCTTTCTGCTTTGCTCATTTGCTGCACTAGTACCTTGCTTTTAAATACTATTCCCTTTGATTCTGTTTCTTCTTTTTGTTTTGTTGTTTGGCTCCTCATTTTCTTTCTTTCTTTCTTTCTTTCTTTCTTTCTTTCTTTCTTTCTTTCTTTCTTCTTTCCTTCCTTCCTTCCTTCCTTCCTCTCTCTCTCTCTCTCTCTCTCTCTCTTTCTCTCTCTTCCTTTCTCTCTTTCTCTTTTGCTCTCTCCCTCCCTCTTTCCCTCTCTCCTTCTCTCCCTCCTTTCTTTCCTTCCTTCCTTGCTTATCTTTTTAGACAGGGCCCCATTATGCAGCCTGCTGTCATGGAATTCACTATGTAGATCAGGCTTACATCAAACTCACAGAGATCTGCCTGTCTCTGCCTCTGGATTACTGGGATTAAAGATAGACACCGCAATATTGCCTTGTTTTTAGACATGCTGAGAATCTTGTGACTCAAGAAATAGTAAAGCTAATGGTTGGGATAAATCAGAATTATCATCATCTCTTGTTACTTTCCCTGTGTCTGTAGTATTCTCTGAAATTGACTCTATTGATAAGTTAAAACTCTTATTTTAGGATCAGTGGTGGTTTATTCTTTTGTTTGGTACCTTTCCTAGGTAATGTTTGAAGTTTAAACATTTTTATTCACCTCTGCTCAAAGAAAGGTTCATGGTAACAGTGTCTGAAATCTTTCTGGTGATATTCTGAATATTACACTTTGACCCAAATTGGATGGATAGGTTCAAAACTTCCTTCAAGGTCTTAGAATGAACTTTTTATTAAGTAAATTTTATTTTTATTTACTTTTATTAAGTAAATACTTAATAAAAATCAGTAATTTTTTCTAGGGACTGTCTTAGTTCTGTGGACAGTAGATGTTATCAACCCATGGCCCTGGTAGTCCTGAGTCTCTAGACACAGTCCAGAGTGGGGAGGTTGGCATCTGTTGAGTCTGAGGCAAGCATGTTTAGATAAGAGTGTTAAGTCTCAGGATAATCACTCTCTGTTTTCCATTGTATACTCTACCTAAGTCTCCTCCCTACACTTTGAAATCTCTATTCAGGGAACAAGTCTCATCTCACATCTACTTTTGGGATTTGAAGCCCTACAATTCAAACCCTGGTTCCACATCCTCCTAGTTGTGACCCCCCATACAAAGGTCGTAAGCCATTTTAAGTACTACAATGACCTTTTAACTTTTCTAATGGAGCTTTAAGATGCTGTGTTAAGGGCAAAATGGTGACTCATTCACTCAACATAGAGTAACACTCTAGTTGAGCATTAACTGTAGAGAATCCAAAGGAGAGGAATAGGGGAAGATACAGCAAAAGAAAGTGATGGCACAAAAGCTAGATGATGTTCCCGAGACATTTGTAAAGCAAATACAGGATTTGCTGATGGATGGCATGTGGGTTTAGGTTAGTTCAGAATCTGGGAGTGAGATGGCCAGTACTTAACTGGTACATATGAGTGGGGTGCTGGGCTGCACCATGGTGATAGATGGCCTACTAGTTTTATTAACGATTTGTCTTTGTACTGCTGTTAATTGGGGTTGGGTCAGGGCAGCAAGTAGTTTCTTCACATTCTGTTTAATAGACGATTAATGTGCCTCAGTTCACACATAGTGTGCCCTTTGGGACAAAAGCAATGAAGGGATGGAGATGGAACCAAAGGGGCTGATAGTAATGCCTCTTGCGCTGTTCATTAGCAATCTAGCCACAGTGATGAGAAGTCTATCCAGCAGGGGGTGATGGCTGCATGTCTAATGAAAGGGGAATAGGTTAAAGACTCGATTCTGAAATGAAAGCTAGAAATATGGGAAACAAAAGCTAAGTTACATTTTAAAAACCAACTAACATATAGTCTTAAGAATTTATGAACCCAAATTACTAATTTAAGATGCATCTGATTAGATGATACCCTGATGCTCTAACCTACTTTAAAATCACAGTCAGAAAGTGATTATTGTCTTAATAACAAAGGGCATTCTGAGTTTTAGAGACATCAAATCTTAAAAATACAGACCTTTAAGTCGGTGGCGAGTACCATGCTCCCCACCATAAACCCTCTCAACAGCAACGGAAGTGGAAACTGAGTACAAATAACCATCACATTTCAAGGTTTTTTGGAGAGCAAACTCTACTATTTATATATGGATGTTCAAGATAATGAGTATAACTGATAAAATTCATGGCAACTATAATTTAATGGACATTTTGTTTAAATGTGTTAGTCACTTTATCTAACTTATCAGAACTTAAGAAGAGAACATGACACTAACAATGAAAACACAAAGATTACAAGTGAACAAGGATCTGAAAAAGAAGAGAAAACCAAACCCACAGTTAGTAGAATGAAAGAAACATGAATTTCAGGGGAGAAGTAAACAAAGCAGAGTCAAAGAAATAAAAGGAGTTGTTTTTGATAAAATTCAAAAGGGACCAAGTTGCTGGATAGCAACACAGAGAGCATGTGGCAAGACTGCTCATACCATGGTGGTGGTACAGAAAGGGAAGAGGAAAGCACAGTGGGGGAGACAGATGATAGGTGATAGATAATAAATAGGTATATATGGATGATAGATGATAGATGATGGATAGATATAGATGGATAGATAGATAGATAGATAGATAGATAGATAGATAGGTAGGTAGGTAGGAAGATACTGATTAAGTAAGAGCAAGTTGCCTGGCCAGGGATTGTTTTATGTGGCAGCATATCGATGATTCAGAGGACTTACTTGGGAATGTTGTAATTATGGCAGCTTGGGAAGGAGGCGCCACATCTCAGGGCATGCCGTATTTACTCTTGGTGAATGATTATTGCGTTATCAATTGATGTTTCTAGATAAGAGTGCTTGATTCTACTGAATTAAAATACTTCTAGGCACTAAATCAGAGATTTAAGATTTGAATGTTTAATCTCCCTCTGACATTATATAACAGAATAAAGTTTATATCTTAATTGTGAGACATGCCTATGTTGGCATATAATTACTGTCCTAAATTGTGTGCTTACTAAAGGATTCCTAATATTCTATGCTGGACAATATACATTATTATAATGAGGTATGGGAGCAGAATGGGAAGTGAGTGGCCAGCCTCAGTACAGAGCAGTTTTGGAGTTGGTTTGTTTTATTTCTTGTGTTATTTAGATATCTCATTTCTTGTGTGACAGACTGTCTGGCATAAATCCCTGAAAAGGAAGGTATATGGACTGCGGGTGGCTCAGCTAGTAAGGGAACCTGTCATCAAGCCTGAATGCCAGAGTTCAATCCCCAAGAACCACATGATAGAAGAAAACTGACTTCTACTAAGTTGTCCTCTGACCTCCACTTATATACTGTAGTGTGTAGATGTGTGTGAGTGCACACTTACACACATATACACAACTAGATAGATAAACAACAAGTGCAATGAAATAAAGGAAAGAAACTGGGTGGTGGTGGCACACACCTTTAATCCTAGTACTCAGGAGGCAGACGCAGGCAGATCTCTATGAGTTGGAGGCCAGCCCTGTCTACAGAGAGAGAGTTCCAGGACAGGCTTCAAAGTGACACAGAGTAACCCTGTCTCAAAGAACAAAACAATACAAAACAACAACAATAAAATAACAAAAAAAAAAAACTAAAAAAAAGGAAATAAAGGAAAGGATCTTCATTTAGCTTCCAGTTTCAGAGATTTCAGTTTACTGTGGCAGGAGGGCACAGCAGGGCAGAGCAGTTGACAACATGGCACCCAGGGTAGCATGGAACAGTAGGGAGTGGATATGCCCTGAGTGATCTACTTTCTCCAGCCAGGTATCACCTTCTGTAGCTCTACCACCTCTCAACAGTATATTTTGCTTTTGAATTAATCAGTGAACTACACCATTCATTATCCACTAGTTACAAAGACTCACAGACGTACCTAGAGCTGTACATTATTAATTTCCTGTTTATTATTAATCCAATCAAGGCGACAATCAAGATTAACTATCACAGTTATTGCACTGTTCCACCCCATTTTATAGGGTTTTCCTGAGAACAAATGCTGTACCTCTTGTTAGTTCAAGGATGTATCCCCAAGTGGTGCCTAGTATAGAATTAACTACTAGAGGGGGGGCAACAGGGCTGTCTTTGTATATCACTCATTTGTACTCTGAGCGTGCAAATATGCACTACAATTTAACATAAGCTTATAGTTAGCACAAATGGATGAAAAGATACAGAGAACATTGGAGGATGTGGTAGAAATGCATTTTTTAATGCTAATGCCTTCTTTCATGTCAAGGGAGTTAGTGTGTTACTAATGGCATCTCTGTAATCCTTTATTCATAGCATATCCAGGGGAGAGATATGACTTATTAGGTTTAAAGCACTGGGAAGAATAAGCAGTACATGTTTGGGCATCCATCCTCCTGTTTCTCCCTTAGAAAGCAGCTACTCTCTGAGTAGTCATTTTCTCTTGGTTCAGTATACCATAAGCTGGGCCCTTCTCCAACAGGGGATCCCTCTCTTGTCTAGGCCTGTACATGACTGGTGAGAAAGTCTACCCCGTTTGGGAATGTGGGGTTATGGGCTTAGTTATTCATCAGCCACATTCTCCAACTTAATCTTTTTTGGTCATATGGGTGATATTTTGATATACATCAATCTTACCTCTTTGCCTTATTTTTCAGTTTTCTTGGAACAACTGCCAAGAGGTGTTATTAATTGAAAATCCCCATACTTACCACTTCCTGATAGGTTCTTGATTTATTTGTTTACCTTGTGTTTTTCCTTAGCAGAACACAAGCTCCAGGGCAGAAATTAATTTTGTTCTCTGCCGGATCCCCAGCATCTAGGACTAGTACAAGGAAGCCTCCTAATAAATACTTGCTAAATGACAGCATTGGTTACTATGCCAGGGTGAATGAAGGCCAGGGAAGCATGGGTGAGTGAGGTCACCCTGCACCATCTCTGTGAGAGTTGTGGAGTGTTAGTCTCTTGGTCTTTTTTTAGAATTTTTATTTATGTCCATGGATGTTTTGTCTTCATGTATGTCTATATACCATATTTGGCCCTTGTACTTTTGGAGGCCTGAAGAGGGTATCAGATTCCCTGGAACTGGAATTTCAGATGCATTTAAGCTGCAATGTGGGTGCTGAAATGCAGTCCAGGCCGTCTGGAAGAGAAGAAAGCGCTCTTAGCACTGAGCCATCTCTTTAATCCATGCTGCTCATTCTTAAGGGTATTAGAACAGTACACAGTTAACTTGTTATCACCATCTGATTTTCCAAGATCAAAATATATTTATTTTTAATGAGCTTTGAAAATGTTGTCTTAGTGATGTTTCCACTGAACAGTAAGAAGGTAGACTGAACTCTGGCGGAAATGAGTAAGATAGCATTTGTCAGGTATTTTCCAGGGGCCCTTGGAGGCTGAGGGCTTCAGCATTGCTTTTCTTGCTCACTAGCATCAAGCGCCTGTGAATTTTCTGAATGGCTAATGTGGAGAAGTGAGATGCTGTGTTTATCATAACGGAGCTAAGCACGGTGGTAGAAGGTCTGCTTCTCCAAGGAGGCCATTCCAGCTTGGCTCTCCATAGAGCCAGTAAGCAGCTGTATGCTCACATTTGCAAAGTTGCCTCCAGCTTTAGTTTACATTTGACCTTTTCTTTTTAATCTTCTTGACATATAGTCTCATATGTCCTTGGTTGGCCTTGAATATGTAAAGGAGGGTGATGTTGAGCTTCCATCCTCCTGTCTCCACCTCCCACATTCTGGGATTATGGGTGTGAGCTACCATGCACAGTGAATAGGGTGCTGGGACTCAAACCCAGGGCTTGGTGCATGCTAGGCAGGCACTTTCCCACCTGAGCTTATCCCAGGTTAGGTCTGGGCATTGTCTTTTTGTGCTCTTTTCAAACGATTCTCCTTTGCCATCTGGATTTAGGCATGCATTAATTTAGGTTTATGTATCTGTATTCTTGATACTTTCATGCCTATGGTTGTCTTCCTAGGTGGTCAAATGTTGGTGATATTAAGGTTTTTAATAAGTGATTATTATGAGACAAAATGCTGATCTTAAACTCAGTTGCATATCTATGTCTTATGTCTGTATCTCTATCTATCTATCTATCTATCTATCTATCTATCTATCTATCCATCTTTCCAGTTCAGTTAGAAAGAGATTTATGTTGTATTGTAGCTCAGCAGGAAAAGAGTCTCACTTGCAAACCTAATGATCAAAGCTTTACCTCCCAGAACCAATACATTGGAAGAAGATAAGAGACTCTCACACATGCTGTGGCATGTGCAGGTACAAGCACATACAGAGAATAAATAAATAAATGTAAAAAAAAGTTAACAACATTGTCATTTGTTGTTGGTTTTGTTTTCTTTTTTGAGACAGGGTCTCACTATGTAAGTTTGGCTGTTCTGGAATTTATTATGTAGAGCACACTGGCCTTGAACTCACAAAGACCCACCTAACCCTGCCTCCTTAGTGATAGGATTAAAGGCACGGGCCATTAGGCCTGGCTCCTTTTGTTGTTGTTTGTGGTGACATTTTACTTGGACCTCAAGAAAGGGTAGGCATGAGAAAGTCTGATAGCTTTATCTTCAGGAGTCCCAGTGCCGTCTTTTATTATTGAAACCCCACAACAAACTCAGCTAATACCTTTAAATGTCTGTAACTTATTTCATATGCAGAGATTTATTTTAATCATTTATTGAAAAGACTATGTAATTTTCATTTATCTTGTTTTTAAAAGCAATAGCAGCCAGGCGTTGGTGGCGCACGCCTTTGATCCCAGCACTCGGAAGGCAGAGGCAGGTGGATCTCTATGAGTTCGAGGTCAGCCTGGTTTCCAGAGCAAGTGTCAGGACAGGCTCCAAAGCTACACAGAGAAACCCTGTCTCGAAAAAACAACAAAAAATTGCTGTTATCACTATGTTAGTTGTTATCAATAGCAACCATTTTATGATAAGCAACTATTTTATTTTGTTTGAAATATTCTTTTTAAATAATGTTTTTATTAATTCTTCATAATTTTACACAATGTATTTTGCCCATATTCACCCCCCACCAACTTCTCCTAGATCCACCCTGACATCCCTACTCACTCATGTTCCCCTTAGGGAGAAACACTCAAAGTCTCTTATTCTCTGTACCTTACCAGTGTGGGTCTTTGTGTTAATTGCCATCTACTGCCAAGATACTTCATTGATGAAGACTGAGAGGTGTTCCAATCTGTGAGTACAGCCAATAAATCCATAGGAATCATTTTAATGCTATGTCCATTTAGCAGAATAATGATCTACCTAGGCAAAGTTCTTGGCCCCAATATGTTACCAGGTATGAGTTGTAGCTTGCTGAGCAGGCCTTAAATATAATAATAATAATAATAATAATAATAATAATAATAATAATGTGTGTTTGAGACAGTCTTGCTACATAGCACATACTGTCCTAGAACTATATAGCCCAGGTTGGCCTTGAACTCACAACCTGCCTGCCTCAGTCTTTGGAGAGCTGCTGTCAGTGAGTACCACTGCCAGATTGATATGTAACTTTTGAGATCACCAGGTGGCTCCCTGCCTTCTGACATTCATTCTAGTGTATTCCCTTCCTCTTGTATATATAAGGGGTCAAGACCAGACTGGAGAAACCCACAGGGACAGCTAACCTGAACAAGGGGTTGCTGATGGACCCCAGACTGATAGCTGGGAAACCAGCATAGGACTGTTCCAGACACCCTGAGTGAGGATGCCAGTTTGGAGGTCTGGGCAATCTATGGGGCCTCTGGTAGTGGATCAGTATTTATCCCAGTATACAAATGGCCTTTGGGAGCCCTCGCCACATAAGAGGGATACTCTCTCAGCCTAGACACAAGGGGGGAGGGTCTAGGCCCTGCTCCAAATGATATGAAGACTTTGAAGGTCCCCTATGGAAGGCCTCACCCTCCCTGGGGAGCAGAAAGAGGTTGGGATGGGGGGTGGAGGGAGCAGGGGAGGAGGGGATGGAGAGGAAATGGGATTGATGTGTAAAAGAAGCTTGTTTCTAATTAAAAAAAAAAAGAAAACCTGGTGACTTGCTTCTGAGTAAGATATGACAACAATAATAGGAGCCATTCTTGAGATGAGGCGATAGATTACTGTGAGTTTGCTGTGGCTCTACCAAGTTCTTGCTTATGTTGTCTATTGGGAGCTACTTACAGGACCAGGACTGTTGTGGAATATGAGTTTGAGATATGTTACATTTGTTTAATGATGTAAAGATGTTTTGCATTCTTTTATGTTGCATTTGTTTAACTCTGTGAAGCTGTGTTACTTTGCCTGTCTAAAACACCTGATTGGTCTAATAAAGAGGTGAACGTCCAATAGCTAGGTGGGAGAAAGGATAGGTGGGCTGGAGGGGAGAGATAATAAGTAGAAGTCTGGGAAGAGAAGACCAGAGATCAAGGAATGAAAAAAGAAGGGGTCAGCCCCCTAGCTATGCAGCCAGGCATGGAATAAGAAGGCAAGAAAATATATACAGAAATAGAGAGAAAAACTAGAGTCAAAATGTACTTGGGATTATTTAAGAAAAGATGGCTAGAAATAAGTCAAGATAAGACTGGGCATTCATAAGTAAGAATAAGACTCCATGTGTGATTTATTTGGGAGTTGGGTGGCAGACTTCCCAAAAGAGCAAAGAGTAAAAACAACAACAACAAAACCAACTACCTAGGTGCTAAAAACAGTCTCTGGCTCAATAGTCAGTCCAATAGCCTGGAAGAAACTAAATGCCAATAGGATTCCACTTGGGATTCTACCCCAGTTGAACCTTTAGCAGACATGAGCATCTAGGTATACTCAGCTAGAAGACCTAGCTGAATCAGAGTTGGTTCCCAAAGAAACTGCAGGTTCATAAATGTGTATTATGTTAAGCTTTTGAAGGTTTTGTTTCTCAGCACTAGGTACCAGAATATGTCACATAACATGAAAAAAAAAACCCTATTTCTTTTTCTGTGAGATAGAGCCTCATGTATCTCTATCTGGCCTTGCTCTTCCTGCCCCACAGGATGACAGACCTGCTACACCCAATTTACGTGGTACTAGGGACCAGGACTTTGTGAAATTTAGGTATGCACTCTACCGACCAAACTACAGCCCCAGCCTCTCCACAAACAGATTTGAAATATCTTGCATCTTGTTTATGACATCATTCTTTTTTTTTTTTTTTAAAGTCAAGGACAGGAAATCAATTGAGTTGTCAGGACCTGCTACCTAGTCATTACTTCCAGTTTTAGGGACACAGACTACAATGGCTAATTTCCATTGTCACCTTGGCTGAATGTAGCATCAGTGTGGAAACATGCCTCTCAGGATATTTACAGACAGGTTGAACTGAGGAGAGAAGGCCTACCCTTAATGGGTGTGGCATCATCGTCATGGGTGATCTAAGCATCAGTATTCTCTCCTTCCTAACTAGGATGCTATTTGACCCAATGCCTCAAGCTCCGCCATGACTTCTCCACCATGATGGACTGCACCCCTGAACTGTGAGCCAGAACAGACTCTTCCTCTCTTGAGCTGCTGTTATTAGGTACTGTGTTACCTCAATAAGAAAACATAATTTACAAATATCAAAGAGGTTATCAAGAAAGAAGCAGCAGATATCAGTAAAATGTGCTGAATTTTAACTTAGAATCTCCTTACTTAATTCAATATAGTAAAAAAGCAGGAAATTAGAATAATAATTTTTATGTATGGTCATCAGTGTAGGATTTCTGAAACACTATATTTTGCATTACTTTACATATTTTTTTTCCTGAAATTTTTTTGAAGTTGCACAGTTAGTTCATCAATTTATAAAACATACGATCCAAAAATCAAATTTGCAAAGCCATTGTTATGTTCAAACTGGTTAAATTGAAATTGCTTTTTGCCAGAAAAGGCCTGATTTAGAAAACTTAAGTATACTAATATGCATTTAAAGTATTGTATGAACTACTTTACAATGAATGGGTGTAGGATTTGTTTAGGCTTCCAATGGCACAAAGACAGATTGACCTCTGATGAGGAAGGAGAAGGGAAATTAACTAGACTCAGCTGGGAAAGTAAGCACATGGACGATTTTTTGAATTTGGTAATAAATAAGTTTCAGTGTTCTACTTTTCCACCTGTGTTGCTGTTTATGGTTTGGAAAGTGAGTCTCAGCTTGGCAGCAGTGGTGCATGCCTTTAATCCCAGCACCTGGGAGGCAGAGGCAGGTGGATGTCTGTGAGTTTGAGGCTAGCCTTTTCTACAGAGTGAATTCCAGGCCATCCAGGGCTGTTACACAAAGAAACCTAGTTTCAGAAAAAAAAAGGAAAAAAGAAAAGAAAAGAAAGTGAGCCTCAAATCTCTTTGACTTTTTGTTTTAGAGGTAAAAGAAAATGCCTAAAGACATGATATTAATTTTATTCATAAAAAGAAATGATTAATGCTGTTGGAATAAGAAGAGAGTGCCCAAACAATATACACATAAATCTCCCTCTTGTATAGTCATTAGGTAGGACCCTTAATGTGGACATGTGTAGTACAAGCCCCAATGTCATAGGTGCCTGTTACTTGTTTTTCATGTTCATCAATGTAAGGTTTATAGGCTGAATTCTGCAGGTGACAGTCATGGTGACAGGATCAAGGAGGTGGGTTATCTCAGGATGAACGTTTTAAAGGAAATGTTGCAGATGCTAGGGAGATTTCAATCTCAATAGTTCAAAATATTCAAAAAAAGCATTTTTATATTCCAGTGTCCAGATTTTTTTTATTCTCTGAAAGAATAAAATATTGCCCCTCAAGATAACATGGAAGAGAAAACTGGCTGACCCAATGGCCTATTGGAATGGGCTCCCAAGTGAAATTGTGAAATCCTGTTCTCTGGCTATCTCATCTGTCTGGTATGTTAGGGTAAAGATTGGAGAAGGGTACAGGAGAATGAAGATTACCTCAAACTCCATCCAATCCTAAAACTGTCTCATTTTCACAATGGAATTCTCACTGTTGGGTAACAGAAACAAAAACATGTCTTATCAAGGAGACATTTTACAAATAAGAATTATAATTCTTGGAAATTTTATTAGAATTGATGAATAAAAGACCTGTAATGCATTATTACCCTTAGTTGTAATCTTTTTTGTAAAATGATTTCTGTTTTTATGATGGGTGTACTTTTATTATTTGTAAATGTTATGTAGATAGCATAGTTCGTCAGGATCATCCACTCAGAGTGCTTTGCTAGCCTGTACATTCTTGGTAGGCAGGTACATACCTTTATTATTGTTTTCCTAAAAGCCAATTTAGTCCTGGAGCAAAGGCAAAGCTAAGTCCTGGAATTAGCTCTTGAGATTTCAATGGACCAGGCTGGTCAGAGGTACTCATCCTAAGTCTGTTTCTGTAATACTCTCTACCTGTCCTTACAAAATGTCCTTACTCAGCTTTGAGTCATTGCCATAACAAATTCCTCAATCTTCACTATTGGCTTTGTTGTTATGCCTAAGAGAACCTGTGTATTATGGTCAAGCATGGGCTTTCCCAGACAGAAAATATGCTTACATAGTCCATTAGCTGTAGGATCTTGAGCAGGTTACCCAGGCTCTTTATGGCTCCATGTTTTCATTAACTTGTCTCACTGCATAGGAGTTTTTTGAAGACAGAACAAAATGTAATGGGGTTTCTAATGAGTTTCACACAAATAAGTTGAGAACAATATCTACTATTGACTTACCCTTGCAGGCTCATATCCCCAAAAACATGTTTTAGTGAACAGGAGGCATTCCCTATAGGTTGAATGAAAATGTTAGGATTTATGTAAGAAATATGTTTGGTTATCATGGGTGACTTCTGTTAGATGATTTAATTTTTGACTTATGTCTAAGTCACTGTTATATTGCTGTGAAGAGACACCATGACCAAGGCAACCCTTATAAAATGAAAGCACTTAACTGGAGACTTGATGACAGTTTCAGAGGGTTATTAGCCTGCTATCATCATGGTGAGAACATGGTGGCACCCATGGTGCTGGAACAGTAGCTGAGAACTACATCCTAATCCACAGGCCATGAGAGAGATTGGGCTTGGCATGGGTTTTTGAAACCTCAAAGACCAACCTCAGTGATACACTTTCTACAACAAGGCCATACCTACTCCAACAAGCTCACACCTCTTACTCCTTCTCAAATATTACCATCCCCTCATGACTAAGCATTTAAATGTATGAGCCAATGAGGGCCATTCTTATTCAAACCACCATAACCTAGTATTTAGAGAGTTTCAATTCAATATAGCTTTTTAATCCTGAGAATCTCATACATATAATGTGTTTTGATCAAGTCCATCCTCTCTCTTCCAATTCCCTCCCATATTTCAACCATGGCTAACCCTCCCAATTTCACATATTCTCAGTCTTATTTCAACCCTTAGAGTCCAGATAGTACTAACTGTATGTGCCTGTGTGTATGCCCATATACTGGAGCATGATTAGCCCCCCTCCTGGGCCCCATCCCTGAAGAAAACCCGAGTCTCCCTCTCCCAGCAGCCATCAATTGTCAATAGCTCCTCAGCTGTGAGTAGGACTTCCTACCTCCCTCTTCCATTTTAGTCATAATTATTGTAATTATTATATTTTATTAAAAAGATGATACTTCTGTCTACACCCAGTCCTCTCCACCTTCAGGAAGATATGCGTAACTCCTGTAATATCATGTGTTTCCATGTGACGTCTTTAAAGTTAGTGCCTTATGTTTTTGTACGGAATGCATTCTCCTGTTCTGTCAGGTGACTCAGTCCTTTCCAGAGAGATATAATGACTGTATGTACTATGCACCGTGCCTTTATGAGGCCATGTAAAGACTGCTCCATGTGTTTTTCCATGACTATACTGTAAGAAGGTTTTGTTTTCAAGTTAGGGGTAGTTTACTTGTAGAAACTATTACTATTCATTAAGGTTGATGAGTGAAACAATTACAGGCCTACTGCATTTTAACATCTTAAAGAGCATTACAAACAGATGCTAAGTGAGCTGCTCATTTGTCTACTTGTTCTTGATCTATTTCCTGATCTGGCCTCCACTCATTCTGACCATGGAGTTCTCTGGGGAATGGGTCTGGTTAGATTTGGAGCAGGTATGTTGGGGAGATGGAGGATGGAATCCTGGGTATAACCTTGTTTGCTTGAATTAGAGGGAGAGCTTGGCATTGGGCATTGCAGTTCTGCTTTATCAGGGCCATCCCTCCCTTCATTGCTCCAGCTTCCTTTGGATAGCAAAGGCATGGAGCCACATCTTGGTACTGCACCAGTTGGCTCTTGTGCTTGGCACCTCACCCCTTCCTTCTGTTTCCCTGGCTTTACAGGAGCTGCAGCTTATTTCTGTTGGGAGTTTCTACATTTGTCACACAGACTCTACTTCAGTTGTTTGGTTTAAACATCTGTGAAGTATGTGAGACTTTTAGGTAGGTTATCTGCCATGGATACTGTTGTTCACATTAGGTTATTTAGAAATTTAAATAGGTAGGCAGAAACCTTTGCATTTTTAGTTATTTGTGGCAGGTACACAGTAGGCAATGCAGAAACTTCTTGGGGTTTCTTTCTCTGGATGCCTTGACTAATGCTTTATTTCTTGTCTTTGGGTGCTGTAGACAAAATTTATAAGGCTTCATCCTTTCCTTTTCAAGACTCTCGTTCCCTCTCTCTGTTACTGAAAATTTGTATAACTACACTCTTTAGTTGATGGATAAAATAGACAGAGGAAAGAGAATACAGAGTCTGCACTACACTCTTAGTTCAGACACTGGACTGTAATGGCAGACACTTCTGAGTTTTCTTTAATGGCAGAAAGGGGAGCTCTTACCAAAAAGAGATGGGAGTTTTGCTAATTTTATGTCATGGCTATGAGACATCTTTTCCTTTGTTCCCAATTTTCATTTTCTCTTTTACAAAGAGATCTATTAAAAGTATTGATTTACGTTACTAAATGTTATCAACTAACAATTGTTCAAGATGTTCTCTCTCTGTGTCTACTCTCTCTCTCTCTCTCTCTCTCTCTCTCTCTCTCTCTCTCTCTCTCTCTCTGTGTGTGTGTGTGTGTGTGTGTGTGTGTGTGTGTAAGTTATAATCAAACAAAATTCCAGAAGCAATGGCCAAGAAAGTCAGGTTCCTCTTAACTGTTCCTTGCTTTATATACTACCAGGGATGGATTGCCTGCACTCTCCGCTCCAGACAGTGCTAGATTGTTTCTTGTTCCTTTAAGCTCCTTTGAGAGGCATGGTCAGAGAACTTGGCAGTGATGACTCAGCCTGAGGAGGATTAATTAATTCCCTTCACTTAATACTGCTATTTTTGATAGAAGCAATGCTATTGGGAGATAAAAAGTCAGAGGATCACATGTATACTCAAGTTGTTCAAGTTCTATCAATAACTGAGGTACACACTCTTGGACTAAAGTGAAAGCCACAATTAAAACAGTACTCTCCCAAGTCTCGGTGATGGACATTTTCAGGCAGGATCTTTGTGACCCTCATATAAATTTATAGTTTTGAGATGAATGTCTTGAAAAGAAAACAAAGTTCTACTAACTCTGGCAAAGACTCCATGTTTCTTGGACATATTCTGCAAACATTCTTATGAAGATTATTTTTAAAAAAAACATGTTTAAAAATTACCATTTTCATGGCCAAATAAATGAGTCTAGTGTTAATGTCTATCTTTTAGTTTTGGTTAGTTGTTTTCTTTTTTCATTTGAGAAAACTGTAATTGTTGACAGTTACAGTTTTCTCAAAAAGAAATGGTCCCCACAGTCTGGTACATTTGAATGATTGGTCCCTAGCTGGTGGGGAGGCTTAGGTAATGTGATCTTGTTGGGGAAAAGGTGGCACTAGAGCTGGACTTCAGAGCTTATAGACTCACACCATTCTGAATTTATGCATAGCTTCCTAGACATGGTTTCATATATGAGCTCTCAGTTTGCTGCTCCAGTTCCCATGCCTGCCTGCTGTCACACTTCTCCATTGTGATAGTGACAGATTCTTATCACTCTGGAACTGTGACCCTAAATATACCTTGGTCATGGTGTTTAGCAATAGAAAAGTGACTATGACAGGAGCTTATCTGGGGAAGCTATCCAGAAGGCCAATTCTTCTTTAACTACTTTTAAAGACAGTAGTTTCTTGTATTTTAGCATTTATCATCTCAGGATGCTCTGATTCAGCAGATCTGAGTTGCAGATCAAAAACACACTTATGTGAAGTCTTCCTACATTAGATTGAAGGAGCTGGGCTGGGGATTTTAAACATATATAATTAAATATCCCATATAAAATATGACTTTTCTGATTAAGAGTTCATAAGGCTACCAAGATGTGGTGTTGGTGGGGATGAATACATGTCCTGAAGTCCATGGACAAAGGTGGGACTCAGAAGCTCTCACCAGAGCAGCATTAGGGATCACAAGTAGTAATATAAAAGGAGCAACAAAGAATGGAGTGGGGGAATTTTAATTACTGCCTTACCTGTCTGTGTTTTTATTAGGACCCCAGTCAGGGCAGTTTATGAAGAGCATGAATTTGTCTTCCCATAGATTTGGAGTTAGGATCAAGCTATTGACATCTTGATTCTTATGATTTCTACTTTCACAAAGACACCTTGAAGGTGGCCCCCTCTGTAGGAGGGCAGCACTGCTCCTCCCATGGCAGAAGAGGGAAGAGAGACAAATCCTTTGTATCATGACATTGATCCATTCCTGAGGACAAAGTTCTGAATATACAACACATGAGTTTTGAAGGAGACAAGACATCTAGACCTTAGCAAATGCCAATGTATAGAAGCAGAGGAGGCATGTAAGAGCATGATTTATCCATGCACCCAACACACTTTAGCTAGGTGTCAACTAATGAAGGACGATTTACCCATGCGCCCAACACATTTTAGCCCACACTAGAGGTGGCAGGAGTGATGAATTTCATATCAAAGGTTACCTGGCTACATAAAGACTTAATCAGCATAAGGGAACTACTGTTCTTTTGTAACAACCTTAGCAAATTAGTAAGGGGCAATGTAGCATAGGGAAAATGGTATTGACTGTGTATTCTCTAAGTGTCATTGAAACTATTTTAAAATTATTGT